AATATTATAGCAGGGGAAATTGAGTTCGAATATTTAATAGTAGGTGAAACAATCTCATGATCGAGTACATCAAAATGTAAAAAACGGTGTTAATTGAATAATTAATAAAATTTTCAAAGTTATTTTTTGTGAAGATGGTATCCCTCTAAGAGAGTACCAGAAAATCTAATGCATTATTTTGGTATTAATTTGAAGAGTGGTTTCAAATTTGTTAGAACAAAACTTTAATGAAAACACATTTAAAATTTTATAGGGGCGAAAAGAAATTTAAGTACAATATGTGAAAGTAAAAGCAAAAAGACGTTGAAAAAAGAAAACAAAAAGCTATATTTCAAAAAAACTATTGGAAGAACTCTTATTATTTTATTTTGAAGAAAAAATTCCTAAAATTAGGCAAACAATATCACTTTCTCACCAAGCATTGTCCCTTTGTTTATCCCTTCTTTTGAACAACAATGTGTGACACACGCATAGTCTTCATTGATTCGCTTTTGTCATTCATTAGGAAATATGTTATCTCTAATTTTATATTTTATCAAACTTCTTTATCGAATTTCTTTTTCGACATTAATCATTTTAATGGTGATTACTTAATCAATCTCATAAATATGTCTATTTGATTGTTGGATCACATCTTCTCATATAAATTATTAACAAAAAGAATGTCAAATTTGCAGCGTAGAATTCTTTCCTTAAATAAAAGAATTCAAAACAATTTGCTTCTACAATCGATTATAATGCATGATGCATGTACATTGAATACTCCCGGTTGTGCTTCTTTTGTTCTTAAAATTTCTCAATCTTACTATTTCAATCTAAGTTTTTCATTACGTACAATAATGATTATTTAGAACTAAGAGGTTGACTAAAAGGTAATAAAATCGCACAATTTATAACCCAAAACTTATAGTTAAATCACATCATGTTCACCCAAATTTCATAAAATAACCGAATACGTAACTCTATCATACAAATTAAAATATTTTATTAAAAGAAAAAGGAAACAATTTACTTGACAATTGAGGAGAGAGTATTGACTCTTTCGTGCTTGACAATTAAGAGAGATAAATATAAAAATAAAAATATTATTTAAAAAGTAAAGAATTGTTAATTTTTCAATGGTAGTATCCACGCCCCACCGTGAGTAAGATTTGATGGTTGCATTGAGTAGTCGTTTTATTAACGGTGGAGATTTGTTGGAGGAGTAAGTGACAACTGTCACGGGTCCGACAGATAAGAAGCAGTTAATGAAAATGTGTGGTGTTTGTTTGTTTGTTTTTCCATTTGCAGTTTGCAATAGTGAGTAACCCCCAACATGTGATTGCTTTTACTTTAAACTGTTCTCTTCCCAATCACCCAACCACAATTTTTCCTCTTCAATTTAATATTAATCCAATTTCTAAACTTTCAAAAGTAATTTCAATTCTTTTTATTGAGATATAAGAAATTAATAAAAAGATGATAGTAATCAACGTCATGAGTTTATAACTCGATTGAATAAAACATATATTCTCGATCAAAATGTCGAAAGTTAACCACAATTTAACCTCTTTAATTTATTATTTCTTTATCTCATTTTTGGGTAATTAAAAAAGTAAAATATAACTTTAGTTTTTAAAATATACTCATTTAAGGTTGAAAATTGCTATAGTAGTCTCTCTAAATTTTTATAAGTTTCACATTCAAGTTTTTATGATTAAAATTCGAGGATATGATTAGTTCTATTGTTGATTAATATTCACATAATTAAATGAACCTATTATATCGTGCTCATATAGCCACTAAAAAATAATAAGGTTAAAATGAAATATTTAAACAATTAAAAATTATGAGGAATAGTCCATGACTTCATGGGAAAGTTCAATTCGACTCTAATTTGGAGAAATTTTGACCAATCGAAAATATGTTGATATTTGACAAAATGACGACTCTACTATTAGATAATCTTCAAATTGCTAGTGTAAAATACATGAAATGACAGGTACGGTAGATACAATAGAAAAGTTCCCAGGACTCTTTGCTAAGAAGGGCAGAGAGTCCCACAATTTCAAAGATACACAAACTCTTCCATTCATATAAGTTCGAATTTAATTCTCACTTAAGTTTTAGAGTGTACATAGTCGAACACTAAATTGGTGCAAGATAAAAAAACTACTGGAAAATCGTAGGATCGTTACTTCCGTGTCACTTTTGATCTAAACCAGACTAAAATAATTGTTTCTTTTAAATGGTTCTGAGAAACATAGATAAATTTTATTTTAATTGAAGACGTCTCAATGAATTAAATGAGTACGATTTTTTAAGTTCTTTTCCTTTACAAAATTCTCTTAAAAAAAGGGGAAAAAAACCCCTCTTAGTTGCTTTGCTTATACGTACGTTTTGCAATAGATGTGTGGCTTTGCAAATGGTTAACCATTATCATATCTTTTGAAAATTTGTCTCACCATAACTCAAGAACTATCCCCCTAAATTCTTCAATATTTCTCATAATTCTTATTTTGATGATTATGAAATCAATTGTATTGGAACGTTGTTTATTAGAAATTTTCTTAAATCAAAATCTGATATAGGTATAATATACAGTAACTTTATTAGAATGTCCTTTTTTATTTCTAACTAATTAACAAGTTAAACTAATAAAAGTGATTTTAGTAGTATAAGTAAAGAAAGAGTAAAATTGTAAATTAATTAGTTAAAAAGGGTCTCGTTATAGATTCCAAAAGGTGTATGTTGTAAAATAATTATCAAAAAGATGTCGCCCCATGAAGTAAGAAATGAGAATGGAACTGATGAGATTACAACAGAGAAATGAGATTACCTTTTGAACAGATTGATTCCTAAACATGATATGAATCCTACCAATTGATTTCATCTTTACCTTTTAAGTAAACACCGACAAAGTAAATGAAGAATTTCATTTCTAATCAATGTCCTTGTTCTCTTTGAGTAAACGAGACCAAAAGTAATTAATCAAATTAAAAAGACGTTTAGTCTCTATCAACAATTAAATTTTTATTACATCTTAGTATCGTAAAAGTTGTGTCTATCGTTGGTCATGGGGTATTACTACCGTATCACATAGCCATCGTTGGTCATGGGGTATTACTACCGTATCACATCGCCATCATATGAAAATGACAAATTTTTTTTTTTTAGAACAAAGTACCCTAATGATATAAGTATTAATTTTTATTTGGGAATTCAAATGTATGAATATACACTTCAAAATATATTTTCCACCACAAATATAATGGTTTTGAATCTAACTTGATAAAGACTTTTTTTTTAAGTAGAACTTGATAATATCGGGAATGAATAAAAAAATCTATTAAGAATAAGATAGACTGGATATAGAATTGTACATAGTTAATAAATAATGATGTGATTGTCATTAAAGATAATCTCGACATTAATGCTAATCTCGACTAATCAACAAAATCATTAAAAGAATGTAAAAAGATAGTTAAAGCAACTATATTCATAGCCATTGATATGATTCTAAAAGATTAAGGGAAGAGGTAAAAGAAGAGACATTATAATTGAGAGGAGTGGGAAAAGGAATAATGTAACAAAAGAAAAATTAATCATGAAAATCAAATTTGAAAAAAGAAAAAGAAATATTTGGGGCTTTGGAGGAAAGTTTTGATATGATATTTGATGATAAAATCCCTTTTGTGGGGCCCAAAAAATCACAGCCATTATACAAGACGCAAAGCTTCTTTTTTTCTAATAAATTATATTTTTATATCATAATATTGTCATATTGTTGTGTTTTTTACTTTAATTTCAAAATATATAACCTTTTTTAATGTGATTTGATGTATCTAAAAGTTTTTAATTGGAAATCATTTCACATTATGATATATTACGTGGGAATAAAGTTGATAACGGATTTATACAAAGATGATTAAATAGTTTATAAGGTTCAAATTTACAATTCTGACCTTAATATACAAATATTTAAAATATTTCACTTCTAATTGTGATGATCAATTTTGTCTTCACTTCTATTAAATATTTTACAAGTAAAAAAAATGTAAAAATAAGAATTTTTATTTTTAAATAATGAATTGTTCATTTTTAAATAGCAGGATTCAAATATTTTAATTTCCTAATAAAAATAAATTAATTAATTAAGAAAAACACACACGAAAATGAAAACAAGCTTTCTTGGTTGTTTTTGGAACTTCTTGTTTTCTTATGTAAACCATTTCTATTAGTCTATTCATATTGTTTTTAATAAATAAATAGGTTCTCCTAATATTTTTTATTCAATAAAAAAAAGTTGTACTTACTAATGCAGTGCCAGGTTTTTTTTTTTTTTGTCGTAATATATGTATTATATTTTACGTCCTTACCTCGTGAAATTTATACACGTGCCCAAGGACAACTGGGATGTGATCCACACGTGCTCAAGAATGGTAGGGATTTGAGAGAACGAGAAGATAAAATTATTATCATTACCAGTCACTATTATTTTTAACCAAGTAGTAATTCTTTAATTAAAGTTGTGAAAAACTTACAATGTACTAAAAGGAAAATTGCAAATTAATCTAGTTCAATTATTTACTTTATGAAAAGGTTAATCTGAAAAAAGCCAGTTTTCGATAAKTAATTTTGAAATCTTACTTTTCGTTAGCTTATGGATATGTAAACTTTGAATTAACAGTACATTTTGAGAGTGGAAGGATTGAAATAAGGACTAAAATAGTATTTTAACAATAATTTTATATTGTGCGAATTTAAGTAACCACCACTGAAAAAGGCAAAAGTGGAAAAGCGCGAAAAAATATGCTCCTCTGACCCTAGTCAAAGCGTAATAAACTTACGGAATTTTGAATTAAATGATTACGAGAAATAATATGAAATTGGTAAGAATTAAATAGGAGATGGATTTTGAATGTGTGAGAAAAAGAAATTGAGAAGATTATGAACAGTGAACCTACAGCAAAAGAAGAAGAAGTAGCGTTTAATTTGAACAGAAGAAAGAAAGAAAGCGGTTGAGAAAAATAACAAATAATACAAAATATGCGAATTGCTTCCTTCTCTTTCTTTCATTCCGAAACTATGAAAGAAGGAACCAGCACCAGAGCACACCACCAGAAAAAAGGAACAGAAAATTTCAGTTTGTCTATGGAGTAAGAAATTTACAAATCTCTCTCACGCACACTGTTAATTAAATACAGAAGCATACTATTTCACGATTTCAGAGTTCGAATTTGTGGTTCAATCCAACAATGTTTTTCGGAAAACCTACCGATTGAATCACGGAATTCGTTTCTCGACGAAGCTGTTAACAAGCGCTAGGGCATTGCTGGTGTGCTTCTTCACCTTCTCCGCCTTGTTGCAGACGTCGGCCTTCATCGGACCGTCGGCCACATCGCCGAATCCGTCCGTACAGGTCTCCTGATCCGTGAGCGCGGCGCTCATCCACGTCTGCACGTTGCTCATCTGGAACCGGAACGACGGCGCGTCGACGTCGTTGATCTGGCGCATCTGCTTGAGCGAGCCGCGGATCTCGTCGACAGCGTCGTCGAAGTTCTCGAAGCAGTCGTGGAGCGCGGAGGCGGCTCTGCGGTCGGCGCCGTAGTCGCCGGCGTGGGAGAGGTTGGAGACGTAGCCGGCCATTCTGCGGGCGTTGGCGAGGCTGATGGTAATGGCGACGCGAGTGAGGGAGGCCGGATCCTGCTGAATGGCGTTGGCGTAGCGGGAGAGGGAGGTGTAGCAGACGTCCGGATAGAGAGTGATGAGGCAGCTACTGCGGATGAACTCGGTACAATTGGCGGTGGCGTTGGCGGTGGCGGTGGCATTGGCATCGGCGGCGGCGGGAACCAGGCGGAGGTGGAAGAGAGTGGCTGCGAATAGGAGAGAGAGGATAAGAGGCCGTTGGGAAGCCATCGTTATTCGATGAAATTGCGGACGCCAGAACAGAATCTGGATTAGCGTTTTGCTTTTGCCTGCCACAGCTCGGTTCACGGGGAGGGCTTTAGTAGCCAGCTGATTACCAAACAAATTACCATTTTCTCCATCATACTTTAACTATATTACCAAATTGCCACCCTTCCCTTCCTTCCTTCAACCTCAACTGCTTGGAAGCCCATATCAATCTAAGATTTGTTTTCTTTCTTTAATTTAACTTGAAAATAAACATGAGACTATATTGTAAAAATATATACGTCTATCATTCGTAGGTTTTATTAATTATTATAATAAAATAGTTATCTGTCTATACTTGTGCACATGTGAACCTTATATTATATATTTTTCTTGTTCTAGAGTGAAAATAATTGCTAATCTTACGTAACTTTCAATTCAAACTATTATTTTTTGGTTGATGATGTATAACTTTAAGTTGAGTTATGTTCAAGATGACAATAGATAAATAAATGATTATCATTAAATTTAGGATTAGATTTTAAGTCCTACTAAGTGTGCACATTTTATTCAATTTTAAGAGTATTTTTTAAGCCTTATCCAAATTTTGTGAAACTAAAATACATTTTTGAGTTTGTTTTTTTACTTTGTAAAATTGGATGATATTACAAAAACCGTTTTTGAAAATAAATTTATATGATAAAAGAGAGTCGTTACTTGTCAATATAATATAAAATTTTAAAAATGAAATTATATCAATTTAGTAGGAAGTAAAACGTTTCGTATAAATAAAAAAAATCGATCAACTTAAATATAATTTAATTAATTAAGTTATAACAAAAGTATTGGATGAAATTCTCACCTAGGTAAGGTTGACTTTATAAAGAAAATAGTTTTGGGGCTTATTGTTGTTTTTCCTAAATAAATAAAAAAAATGTTTTTCCAATATAAATAAAAACGTTAAACTTCTATAAGGCAATTAGGTAAATAGTGTTTAAGAATACAGATTGGCATTAATCATTTTTAAGACTGTTTTTTACCCTTTTTTTTTTCCTTTTCCTGGATTTTAAGAGCATTTTAAAAAACTAAAAAAAAAAATTTCTTCCCTTTTCTGGATTGGAATTCTTAAAAGAAGTCTGTGGAATTCTATGGGTGTTTGTTCCTATTTTGACTAATGTACTGGGAATCACATTTCAAAATTTTAAATATAGCAAAATATTTAAATTTTTATTTTCGGATTTTTTATTATTTCAATTTTACCCTTATGATATCTGATATACATCCAATGTATATCTGTATTTGATATAAATCCAATGTATATTTGTATCTGATATACATCCAATGTATATCTGATATACATTATCAGATGTATGTATTACACCTTTAAAATATATATCTGATGTACCTTTAATTTACGATGTACTAAATATATTTGCAACTGATATAAAAAATATAAGATACATCAAATGTTTAATTTTTAGTGGTATATCAGATATTTAAATTCTAGTTTACCATGCAATTTGTTGATTAATATACTAATATTATCAATGATGTTGATTCCTATATCACTACTATTTATTCTATATAAATATTAATTAAATACTAAATATAAGGGATATCTGTTTAAATTTATAAAGTATATGAGATTTCTAACATTTTGTTTTTTGTGGACGTGAATAATCTAAATAAATTTTTTATACAATAACTTTATATTTCATTTTTTTGTGCATCATTGTTTTCGTGGGAAAAAATAGTGTATATAATAGTATTATATTAATTACACACGTGTATCATAATTATATTAGTAGATATCATGATTATATTAGAGGAATATCAATGGTAAATTAGAAGCATATTAAGTATATATCAAATATATATCAGTGTTATATTAATGATAAATCATATAATCATATATAAGAAGTTATATCAGTAGATATCATAGTTATATCAGTGGTATATCATTTGTATATCAATGGTAAATTAGAGACCTATCAAATATATATCACAGATATATAAATGTTGTATCGGCATGGTAAATCAATGATTATCATACATATATCGGTGGTAAGCCATGTTAAAAGGTCAGTAGATAGGATAATTATATCATAAGTAAATCAATTGTATATCATTATTATATCAGTGGTATATCAGCAATCAGATATATTGTAGATATACAGATGTATATCAAATATATTGCAGGGTAAAGTCGTAATTTTAAAACTGAACCTCCGTTTTTTGTAGAAAAAAATGCTATATTTGAAAAAACTAAATGTAGTTGTTATTTTGCTTATTTTACTAAATATTTTTACCATATTTGCAACTACCAAAATTAAAATTAAAAATTTATTTTAGTTTTTGAATTTTTATGTATATTTTGATATTAGTATATATATTTTTAAAATACTTTATTACGATTTCTAAACTCTCATGGGGAAGACATTACATGTGGAAGATCTCGATTAATACTTTAAAAGTTGAATATAAAAATAGAAATTAATTATGGTACAAATTTTAAGAACCACCATAGAATTCAAACCAAAAGGAAAATAAAATCAGCCCATTAGTCTAAAAAATTTTGAAATTATTTTGTTAAGTAAGTTCTAGAAACTAAAAAAAAAAAAAGAGAGAGAGACTATTTTATTTTAATTTTTTCAAACAGAGAAGTCTCTTTTTAAACGATCAGAAAAGCTCTCCTACCAAATTAGAGAAAATTCATTTAAAGGCAAAAAAGAAAAAATTGATGTGAGTGTTCATCATTATCCTATCTAATTCTAATCTAACAGGAATAATTACATTTTCGGTAATTGAGGATGGATTTTTGGTTTAAAAAAATACTTATAAATTTTTAAAAAAAAGTTTATTTTTAACCTTGCATCTTTTATTTTGATCCTAACTTTACATTAAAAAAAAATAGTCTAATACTTAAATTTTCATTAATAAGCATATTTATGTTAAAGAATTATAACAAAATATTTAAAAATTTAGGGACTGGAATAAAATAAGAAGTGACATAAAGTTTATAAAGAAAAAAATGATTTAAGATTTTTTTATCCCTGATTTTTGTTAAGGGGGGAAATTAAAGAATATTTAGTGGGTCATATTAGTAATTATCGCACTCTTCTCATAGTACGGAGGGTATGAGTGGTATGGAAATATTGTTCTTCTTTTTGTTGGCTTTGTCCTTGTCCCAAAAAACCTTCATTCATGTTTTTGGTTTTTGTTTGGAGTTTGTTTATGAATTTGTACAAAATTATTAATCTTTTGTATAATAATGCCATTGACTCAAATGATTAAGAAACTTCATAACCATCAAAAAAATATATATATATTATTATAAATTTTAATTAGTGTCAAGAAATAAGAGGAAATGACAAACTAGGACCAAAGAAATTATAATAACATTTCATTATCGATATTTTAAATATCGATGTCGATGTAAATGTTAAAGTCTCAATTTTATAGAAATGTTGATGGAAATATTTATAAAATATCGATATCGTTTCTAGAAAATAAAAAAAAAATCACAAAATTCTTAAGAAATATTTACACTATAAAAGCATTTCACATTTTCTATTGAGTTAAAAAAAATCTAATTAATATTATGTTAATTTTTAATGATATTTCTTATATTTCATTGAACTTTTACGATAGAATAAAAATGTTGATTCATCTTTTATATTATTATGGAATCATAGACATGTTGAAATGTCGACATATCGATGAACATTTAATACATGGTTCATAATGAAGTTGAGTTAATTTTCATTTTCTTCTCTATATCAAAATAGACGTCTAAGAATTTTTTGATCAAGAAATAGATTTAAGTTATTTTTAATTTGTATCATGAAATAAGAGGAAAATTTGAACCATGTAACATTTTGCGACAGAGTTGAGTTGATTTCCACACCTTTTTCTATATCAAGAGAGTTGTAATAGGTGTAGAGAATTTATTGATTGCGAAACTAATTTAGTTTTTATAAAAATAGAAGGTAAAAAATGATATATTTGAACATATTTGGAAATATGATTATTATTTGTTGTTCTAATTTTTTAATAAACAGTTGTCTACTAAATTTTTTACTTTTTTTTAATAACCCACAATTGTTAATATAAATTCTACTAAATTTTTTACTTTTTTTTAATAACCCACAATTGTTAATATAAATTCAAGGATTATTGGGATATATATATATATATATATTTATTTATTTATTTATTTATTTCTTTATTTTGATGCATAATTTGTATCCGAGTTGCATGACGAGAAGCTTCGAACGAACAAAGTTTGTACAAATATGGCTCAATCTCTCCTCATAATCATAGAGGGACCTTGAGCTTTAGACCATTTTAAATCGCATATCTCTTGATTTCTGGCACTCGTCACTTAAGTGATAATAAGTTATGTTAGCTCTAAGGTGAACTAACCACTCTAGTTCGATTAGGTCAACTCGGACAGTCTAGCCCAATCGACATACCATGGCCTTAATTTCTCAAACCTTTTGTTTATATTTAATTTTTGGTTGTAGGATGCTGGAGTACCTAATTTTTGTATGTATTTTTTTTTTGCTAAGGAATATTTTTTATTCTTATCTTTTAAGAAAAATGGTTTTTTTGTAATAAATATTTTTTTTAATAATAGATAAGAAAAAAACAAAAAAAATCATTTTCCAGATATTTTTTAAAAATTTTTTGGTAAGTAAGAACAAAATAAGGATAAGGAGTGCTTGTCAAATAGCTTTGCTAAAAGAAAAAAGAATTAAAAAATGTCAAATATATTATCTTTTAGAAAAATTAAAATAAATAAATTTTACATTTGATCACCCCTAGCTTCAAAGTCTGGTTGAGATTAATATCTACTCCAGTGTAGCCACCTGACATCATTTCATTAATAATATCCAATTTCCCCTTTAAAGAAATTACAATATATAAAAAGGTGTAGGCTTCTTTTCACAAGTAATGAGACAAATTGTGATGTTTTCTAAAGTTAAATTATATATTTTAGATTTCATCTTCATATTTTTATAATTTTCAATTTCAATTACATACATCAACTTATCAATTCTAAAAATTTATCAATTTATAACTAAGCTGGT